GCGTTCTTATTTTCTGTGACAAGTCTGCGATTCGTCTGAAAGCGGAAATCTCCCATTGCGAGTCTGCAACAATCCGTCGTATGTGTGTGTGTGTGTGTTTTTTTTTTCTGTCATGAATCGCGCAATCCGCCTCCTTTCAAAACTGAGTCCGGAGTTATCCTGAACGATGCGCCCGAGGAGGAAGAGCTTTCAAATTTCTTTCGTAACGAATCTTGAGCAAGTCGCGGCGCCGCCCGAGCGCGCTTATTATATACCGGGCCTGCAATTAGTTACGGCCGAAGATTCCGACCAATTACGTTAACCAGGTTGACTCGCGCTATACAGAGCGCAAATGCGCGCGGATTACGTCTGCGTTCCTTTGCGGTGTTGCGCGCGAAGTCATCGAACAAAGCGAGGTGAGAGTTTTTGCGAGATCTGTGTACACGGCGATCAGCCGATACTTCGTGCACATGCTGCTCCATTAATGTACATTAATTCGGGAGTAGTCGTCTTATATTTATTAACAAATATATAAAATGGGGCTGTCGAAAGAATCTATCAGTGAAATGTAAAAAATCCCATCGGAGATGGAACAGCCTACGTCAGCTGTTCAGTTGCACAGAAAATTCTTTATTTTCGTAACGCAAATTCTAGGTTGATGATTCCCGACAATTTATGCAAACGGATTAGCTGAGAATTTTCAAAAATTCTCTAATTTTTCGTTGTTGTGTTTCCTTCGAACGAACTACACAGCAAACACTGACAATCCGATGAGCGATGTGATTCTACTTAATGACGCAATGTATATTGACTTCGGTTGTACTTTGATGTAAGTTTTTATATTATGTTTGTATAAGTTAATATTTTGATAATCATTGGGCTATTCATTACATAGCTAATTTGAAATTTGGATAAAGCAGAACGAATTAAATTGTCGGGAGTCATCAACCTGGAATTTGCGTTACTTATGTAATTTATAGTTTATATTGATAAGCACCCGAATTGAAGGATCGAAACGTTTATTTTATTCGTATTGTTACATTCACGCGAAAATAAAGAATTTTCTGTGCATCTGAACAGCTGATACAGGCTCCGATGAGCTTTTTTACATTTTACTTATATTTTTACGTAAACGGTCACCTGGAGTGACCATTTTACATCTCAATTAAAATCACTGTTATTAACAACATATTGTTTTCCGATTTATTGGTATTTGAATATTATAAATATGAATTTATTTACAATTTTCTGAAAAAAAATAAGCAAAAACCAAACAAATAACCAGAACAAGCACATTAAGTAGCTTATTACGTCAGTATTTTTACAAAAATAAATATTTTTATTAACATAACACTTTTGTATTACGATGGAATTGCATATTTAGAGATTCAGAAAGAATAGTTTCTAAGAAGAAAAAAGAAAGAAAATATGTCTGAAAGGAAAGAAAACAGTTACAATATTTAGTTTTAAAACATTCATATTTGCTCGCCGTTGGGATATAAAAACACCCCAGGTGACAATTTCCGAATTCAGGAAACTTCTATCAGATTCTGCGATGGATTTACTATTGACTTTACAAGTATAGTAGAAATTTAAAGAGCTATCACCATTTCTGATATTAACCATTTTTGAACGCGAGTCATAAATAAAATGTTTATGACATTATGAGCTGCTAAATTACAATTCTGTTACATTCAGAGACACGAAAGAGTTTATCGACACGTGCGGGTACCTTCATCGGTTGAAATTCATTGCTTTTATTCTAATTAGACAGGTACATTCCGCGCGCAATGACTGTCGACTTTATGCCCTGAATACTATTTGGCCCGCAATTTTCTAGGATGATGTATATCGCTTGCTTAGCAACGACGCGGTCAAATCGTCGAGCTAATTAACTGGCGCTTTCGCGTTTTGCGAGAATATTCGCGCGTTTGCAACGAGATCGCAAGCCGACCACTTTGTATCCGCCAAAGAGTGCTGGCCGTAAAATGCGATTTAAACTTAATGCCGGACCGTCGTATCCAAGAATATAATGGTATATATAAATATTGCGAGTCGACTACTGCGAGCAATCAGAACTGCACGAATAAAGACGAGAGTTTATTATTGATGATTGCATATATATGTATATATATATGTATATATATATATATATATATATATATATATATATATATA